TTCACAATAGACATTTATACACCATTCGATAGAGAATTTCAAGGGCTACATTTTACACTATTTATATTTGATATACGAATTATTTGAATTTTCGGCCTAATGTCCGCTTGGATGCCCACTGTGATACGTACTTATGTATGGACATATTTTACCGATGATCAATGGAATTTTTTGGATATTGCTGCAATATTATTTTATATAGTTGGATTCATAACACGGTTTATTGTAATTGAACAAGCATTTACAGTGTCAAAGTAACTTAAATGACAGAAGTATATAAAAGTATAGTATTCTGACATGATATCTCGAGTTCTTACATGTAGGATATGCATGGCTATAGATTTATGTTTATGGTATGTAAGAATATTACATTTATTTGCCGCATACGAACGATTAGGAACGAAATTATTAATGATCTATAACACCGTAAGTGACGTAATGCGATGTATGACGTCAACTACAACTAAAACTAACGAGGGAAGGGCCCTAGCTGATAGCCCCCGATTTCGATGATATTTTGCTATACGATGTCCTAATCTTACTCTCCAAAAGATTTGGTTGTGTAGCTCTTCTTTCAAGAGTTATTGGCTTTTTAAGACTAGCCGCTGGAAATTCTAATTCATCATTGTGTACTTTCCATACTCGTTCACATGTGTACACAGACACCTTTGGAGGTTAAGACTAGGATATCATATAGTATCTATTGGCAAAGATCATCGAAATTGGAGGGTATCAGTTAGGGCCCATCCCTCGTAAGTAAAAGTCGTAATTATCTGCGTATTTATAGATGAAGGATCTCGAATTTTTGTATTATTTCATATCAATTTTTGTTTTTGGTTATTCTATTTCCACTTATTCATTAATAACAACTGCAAATCAGGTAACATGGTATCCAAGTGCTAATGGCGGACCATCTCGTTATTATACGTTAGCAAACGATGGTACAGGACTATGGAATTGGAATCTTCTACGAAATGTATTTGATTGGGGTATATGGAAAATATTTGGACAAGTTAATCTTATAGCTTTACAAGAAGCTGATAATTCAACATTGACAGGAGGTTAGTTTGTGGTTAGTGCACTGTATATAGCATTATTACTCCATAGTAATGAACTTCTGGTTTTGTCATTTTAAGCAATCAATGATGCTTATGGTACCGTGACATTTATATTAACAATAATATTTGTTTGTATAGCCAATGTACTTCTACTAAATGTATTAGTAGCCCTATTTAAGTATGTTTTATGATTTCATGATTATCTGTGCTGTTTAAACGTTAAAATATAGCGTTATGTGTAATTTATTTGTAGTGTTTCAATTCAAAAAGTTGTACATAGTGCACATCATTTGTGGGCATACCATCGTTTCTTATTGATTACTGAATATTCAAAAAAATCTGCATTTCCACCACCATTAAGTTTAATACATTATACAACTCAGTTAGTCATTCTGATTATTCAGCATTTTAAAAATACACGAAGTAGTAAGCAGTTACAATTAGACATAGTGTTTTAAGGACTTTTCTTGTCATTCGAATTAACTTGCCTTTACCGAGATATGCTCCGGTTATGATGATGATCCAAGAAACCGTAGCTGCCGCTCGTGAAAGAAATCGACATAATGGAAAGAAAATACTCGACGAGTGTTTTAGATGTCTCAACTGATTGCATACGTTTGATATTTCTTCGTTTTCGTTTCATTCGTTTTACGATCAAGTGTAGAGAAAGAAACAAAATAGCTAACAGATTCTGTCAGTTGAAACATCTAAGATACTGATCGATTATTTTTCCTTTGCTATGAATTATTTCTAAGCAAAAACCAAACAGTTTGATTTTATGCCGTTAACCGTAGCCAGCGCATATCTACGTATCTGTTTTCACTCAATTTTTTGTAGCTAACAAGTACGGTACATTAACAATTGATGAAAACAACAAGTTGAATGCAAATATGCATGATCTTGTCGTATTTAATGCTCTTGATAAAATACATATATCGGGCAATGTTACAAGTATCATCGTTCATTTTTGTACATTACCAACAATCGTAGAATCAAAAATTTCTCTCTATGCAATGTCACCAACAAATGATCCAAATAAATTTTCAGTTACAGCTACAACTGATGTACTATTAGATCGAATAAAACCATCATCATCGAATACTGTTCAAACGATTCCTCTTACTAGTAATTTGTCAGTCGCTACTGGGCAGTATATTGCTATTCGATTTGAAGTTGGTTCAGGTAGTCCGTATAGTATTGCCGAACGAAACGAATATTTCGTTAATTCCAAAACATTTGATGATAATTTAAAGAATGATTTACCAATACCATTTACAAATTGTTCAAATAAAGGAATAGCATTTGGTTTTACTATTAACTCAACATCACCAGGTATACGTGCAAATTGAATATTTTGGGCATTTGCTTCACTTTGAAGCAAGGAACCGCTCGAGTGTCAAACCGTTTTTTGATTTTACATACCTTTTTATAAGTTCCAGACGGTGCTAATTGTATATGTGAACCTTGTTTGTGCCCTTAGTGGGCTTTAGAGAGAGTTTCTAGAAATCCGATGTTTGGTGCTCCAAGTGCCATGAAGAAGTAGAATTGTTTGAGCCAAGTATTATACTCAGCATTTTAATGCTCTATAACAGCCGACTGAAAAGAATTATAGTTCTTCCAGCACTCTGTCTCTAGAAATCGGATTTCCATTAACTCTCTCTAAAACTCACCAGATGACCAAATGAAGTTCATAATTCACTCAGCATCGTCCAGATACTATAAAAACATCTGTTTCAGGTCAAAAACGATTTGTTACTTTGAGCAGTTCCTTCGCAAAAAACAAGATCTTTTTTTGTTCAGGACATTATCGAAGATCTAAAGTAGGAATTACCGAAGGTGATATTGAAATGCAGCAGCAGCAGCCGCAGCCGCCACTACTCTTTTCTCCCCCCAAACAACACAAAAAACGACTACCACAATCAAAAATCATTCGTGATGAGCAGCCTTCTGGTAATAAACTTGAAAAGAAAATGGATTTTATTTCTATCATCCGATTATTCGTCGTCTCTCTCTCTCTAGGTGCGAATAAATTTCAAGAATACGATAATATGTTACGTGAAAATGCAATTGCTGAAGATTATTGGAAACCAATAATTGATAGAATTAAAGAAAATGAACGTATTAATGACGAAGATGAGGAGGACTATGACAAACATTATGGAGAAAAAATTATTCAGTTAATGAAAGAAAAAGACTTTATTAAAGCGAACAGTCGACGAAACTCGAGAGCGACGGACAATATGTTAGCACCAAATTCAACAACAACAACAAATGATCTTTTGTAAAATTTGTTTATGTTGCATCGTTAATAGGGCATATCGCTCCTTTATTATTTTGCCCAGTTCAATAAAACCAACAGACTTTGTGTTTGCAACGATTTTGTTTTTCTTTTTTCATGGATTTTGCAAAATGTGTACGTGTCAGAGAGCCAGACAAAGTATGTCTGTAAACACTCTTCTATGAGCAAAATCACACACTTCAATACTCCTTTTTATTTTAAAAAGTTGTGAAGAGGAGAAACACAGAGTAAGACGTGCGTGTGACCAGTATAATCTCACTTTTTTAAAAATGAAGGCAATGCACCGATATATATACGCTCGAGTACAATAGAGAGAAAAAAGAAAGTATAGGACGTCCAACAGATAGTACCATAACAGTTGTCATTTTCTGGAAAAAGAAAAATATCAGACAACAAAGAGAGGGATGATATGTACAATATGTATGTCTGTGAGAAATATCGAGAAAAAAAGGACAACAAAGAGTGAATGTGATTGTGACGCGTGTGACTAGGTATGTTACAAACCCAAACCCAAGTCCGAGACTTGGGTTTGGATATTGGGTCAGACTTAGGTTATTAAAAGACTCCTTTTAACTGAGATACCTTCTTTTGTTGTGGCTCTTTGAGAAAACAGGATGTAAGATGTTTATTTCGGCCTGTGGGCATACGTAATGCCTAATGCTAACGATAAGAGCTCA